AGTGTAAATCATTCTAGTTTATTTTTGAGGTAAACCAAACTCGCTTGATGGCGCCAATAACTACCAACCGCAGTCGGCCACCGTTCCAGCCAACTCCACCTGCCCTTCAGCCACCACCGTCGCAGCCAGTCACCACCCACCGCTAGTCACCACCCGCCGCCACCCTCCATCGCTGTCAATACCCGCCGGTCATCATCATCTTTAAACTTTACACTTCATTCATTTACTTCAAACAAAAAAAAATTGTTCACCTGAATTTACTTTAAACACATCCAAACAATTCCAAAGTATTCTTTTTAAATTATATTCCTTTTATATTGCATTCATTTTACATTGCATTCCTTTTTTAGCCAACCAAACAACCCCTATGTGCAAGCTTGCAATCTGCGGCAGACCAGGCTCAAGACCAGCCCAACTATGCCCAGCTTAGTCAAGCAGCAGGCCAGGATTAGTTCATTGATAATATCTAAATAGGAGTCAGAAAGCCTAACAGATAACAGTTACTCATAATGAAAGAAAGCCTGACAGATACCAGTTTCTATCACGAAATAAATGTAATAGACACAACCAGCTTCAAGGATTGAACTTTCATTTCATTACATGCAAAAAATTAAATTGAAGCTCATGTAACCCGCATCATGAATATTTAAGGGGAAAGATTCTGCTTAGGGACTGTTTGTTTCAATGTTAGATAAAAATATTATTTATTCAATATTGCATGTACAGTTCAATATTATTATATTTTAAAATATCTAGAAGATCCAAATTGTGAATGTATACAACTACTAAAATAACAGTGACATCTATAATTGTTGTCAAACTCAGTCGACATTTAGATGTCACTCTTTCGGACATAAATATAATTTAAAGAAATATATTATTTAAAGATCTTAGCAAACTAAATAGTTGACATCTTTAAATAACCTGACATTACATTATAATGTCTATGAACATAACAATCCCAAAGTAATATATACTATTAGGTTTGGATGACATGAGCCAACATTAATGGACTTGTAAGATTCATTGAACTTGACTTAAAAATGCCTGCATTTGGATTATCTCCACCATCATTAATCCATAACTCCTAAAAAGGTAAAATCTCAGCTCAATGTGCAAAATGATATTCAAGTACGTTGAGTTTATGCTAGACTTCTTATCAAATAATGGACGCCAAACTACATATCTAAAAGAAAAACATAATACTACCAACAACAATAGTATCTTGTGTTTTGGACTTGTGAAAAGATATGGGCAAAGGCTTGAAAGATGGAACTAAACAATGCAAAGAAATATGAATTACAAAAAATGAATATATTTCAATAGACAATAAGCAGAAAGCACATTTTCCTTAACAAACCTCATCTGCAGTTCTCTTTGACTTTTGCAGCGTTGATGCTGAAAATTTTTGCATTGCAACTCCTGCATCGAACCGTAAGGTATAATTCGAAGGTGCCAAATGGATGGCTCTAAGCAATGTTCTCTTGCAATCTTGCCATTGTTCAGCCTCATAGTGCGTTCGAGCCAAGTAAAGAAGTACTTGAGAATCTGTATTATAGTAGAACTTCCTCAAGCAATTCTGATACTGCAAGATAGTACAGAAATGTCAGATGAATAAAACTTCATTATTTTTCCCACAAAAGAAAGTAGATGAACTTGCCATCTTCACAGCCAAGGCAAAATGACCTTGAGCAAAATAGACATGAGCCAGATTTATCCACACGTCTGCCATCTGAACAAATATACTTCCAGATGCAGCCTCTTGCACCTATATGATATTTATGTAATGAATTCATCATCAACCATAAATTACAATGATATTAAAAAAAACTGCAACATGCCTGCGTGAAAACATCCTTTGAGACATCAAAATGACCTTTCTCGGCCAAAATCACCCCAGCACCATTGGCAGCATAGAGATTTGCAGGGCACAGCATTAAAACCTAGAAATTAAATTCCATCGAAGATGAAAAGAACATTATTTCTAGTAAAATGAGATTATAGTAGTACTCATCTTCCAGAGAAGGCATGCATTACAGAACCACTAAAAAATGTGAGAACTTAAAAAAAATAATGAAAGGGTAGTTGAAAAACTATGCTCATTTAATTGTCTTACAGGGGAGAATGAAGTTTGTAACAAAAGAATTTAATACATAATTCAAGCAAGGATCAAGATAGAGCAACATTAATGTTTATTGACTGAAGTAACATAGAATATATTATTGTCTAGAGAAGAAATTGCAACTCCGAACCCCAGAGCCATCATCAGGTCAAAGTTTCTTTCCTCTAATTAGGCTTGGCAACATTTGGTTTATGTAATACAGAACAGGTCCCCACAAGATTAAGAAAATGGAATGTTTTAGCATTTAAAGATCGTCAAAAATGGTCAACTGTTGAGAAGAATGCTTTCAAGACAGCATTTTTTTTTTTTTTTCATTTCTCTGTACTTATTGAGTAAAAGAAAAGCAGATGGTCAGCTCTCATTGCAGCAATACAAGAAACACTGAACATGAATGAACTTAGCAATATTAGAGCTGCTACCTATATGAAAATTCCTGTAGAGTTTCTAGTTATGTTTGAAAATATTGCAGAGCAAACAAACCGTTGCTCAAAAAATTGCTTTGGACAAACGTGTTAGAGGAAGTTTCGTCAAGTGAAGCTAACAGCTATTTCAACTATATGATAAATTAGCATCTGAAGTAGTTACGTCTTCTAACAAATTTAAGATGCTTAATGTGATTATCGTGGAAATTGTGCATCGTCATAAATGACCAAAAATAGTAGAATTTTAAATTCATATAATATTAATTATTAATTTAAGAGCATGTATTTAAATCTTCAACTGCATGAACTTTATTATACCTACAAAAAGGTGGTTCTAATTACAACCAGATCACATGCTTTCTTACTCGAAAATTATAATACCCGAAATGTTCAAAATAAATGTAAGCATAACTTTCTTCTAAACATTATATTAATTTCCTTAAATGCTTCTTTTAATTTTGAACATTTTGATATGTAAATTATGAACTCAATTGTGTACATTTATATGCACAATTATTATATGAACAAATTGTTACGCATTTCATTAACAGTTAATTGAAATAAGTTCAGTAACTCTTAATTTATAACTACTAGCCATCATTACAGTAATTAGTCTCATTATTGTAGCCATAGCACTTAGCCATGCATGCAATGGGCTGATTTCAAGATTGCAGGAAATCCACAGGAAATCAACGGCTGAGAAGGATTTGGAATAAATTAGTGGAATTAAGAGTGAATATTTTAATGCTTAGTGGGATTTATGCTTAGTAGAATTTCAGTTAGAAGCTTAGTGGAATTTCATGCTAATATAACCAAGCAATTCATTCGTTCCATTTATTCCATATACGCTTCCTGGAGCTGAAGAAGTGATACGGACATCGGCACGAAGATTTGGCGCATCTATCACAGGAGGCGTCGTAAATCGACGGCTCTAATTTAAATTGTCATTTATGAGTTATTTTATGAATTCTAGCTCTTATTTTATGTTATGTCCTGTTTTACCCCTAGGTTAGTTTATTTGAATGTTGTGGCCCAAGGGAGATTTTCTTTTCCTTGGCCAAAAATTTCAAGGCCCCACTGCCATTAATGCTTTCCCAAATCCGGTTTCTGTTATGTCTGGAATTAATCCCGTGAGATTCAAAGCTCCAACCTTTAATTACTTCCTAATTCCCATCCCTGTTTAAGGAAGACAATTGCAATTTCCCTTAATCTCAGCCTAGCCGAGATTTCTTTTCACCCCTTGGCTCTAATTTCCTAAATCTAGATAGTGGATTTAGGAAATAAGAGCCCAATCCTTCTCAATCCCGCTCAACGTTTAAAATTGCGTATTCGGGTATTGAGGCGTTTTTCGTTCGTGAGGCGAGGCGTAAGCCTTAAGGCGTTTTGAGGCGTAAGCCTCAAAATCAAAAAAATTGCGTAAACATAAAATAATAAATTTTGTATATACTAATGAGTAAATAATATATAAAATATAAAAATGCTACTTACTAAATCTTTGAGAATAAATAAGGGAGACATATCACATAAGAACTCACTAGTCAGTAGTCATCAGCACTGTCATCACTCATCAGTCATCACTCATCACTAAGGGGGTCTTCATTTGAATCATCATTATGATGAACTGCTCTCTCCTCTTCCCCCTCTCCTATAGAGTCAAATATCTCTCAATCAGCTTCTTCTTTCTCATTATTAGTTATCTTTCTTTTCTCTAAATATTTTTTAACAATATCATAATGAATAAGTGTAATACATTAATAAAAGTTTAAGAAAAAAAAAACTATATTATTTATATACCTTTTTTGATTTGTTCAAGAGTTGTGATGGATGTGGATGTTTTAAGACCATCTAAGAAATCAACATTTAAATCTTCATGTTGTAATTCAGAGGGCATCACTTCAACTTCATTATTTACAAACCACTCATCATCAAATGCCACATCATCGCAAAGCAAATGATCTTCATCATTCATTAATCCTTTTTTCTTCAAATTTCTATCTCTGAGTCTCCTATTGTACATAATGTACACCAGTGAGTTCATCCTCAATGTTGACAAGCAATTTCTCCTCTTTGTATATACTTGGTTGTTGGTACTCTAATTTCTTTCACAGCCAGATGAAGAGCATATCAAGGCCAAAAATTTCACAGCAAAATGCTGTAATTCTGGAGTCCCATCACAAATTGAATCCACCACTCAATTGAAGATCGTTTAGCAATTGTATCTTTTGCTTGTTCAAATCTAAAAAAACTTTCTTTTTCCTAAAAGGTACAAATTGCATGTTAGCATTTGATCTTTCAGTTGCATCACTTATTAGACGATCCATGCAATGATATAATCCCAACTTTATTTCAGGGTTTGTAGACTTGTTCTCTGCATATTGATACTGAGGGTTTAGGTAGTAGCCAGCGGCATGCAAGTGTCAGTGAAGCTGTAGTTCCCACCTATCATCAATAATATTTTAAATCTTCTTAAAGCTTCCCTCACTGCCTCCTAAGTTGGAGGCAATCATCTCTTTGGCTTCATCCATGGCATTGTAGATGAAACCCATTGCAGGCTCCTTCTCAGCATCCACCATCCTTAAAACATGAACTAAAGGTCTAGTGGTTGTAATGGCATATAAGACAATTTGCCAAAATCTATCATTTAAAACAATCTTTCTAATCTCTTTTCCCTCAGCCTTCTTCGCCCAAGCACAACTCAACCACTGTATAGATGTGAACATAGCCTCTAAAGGTTGCCTATCATCCAGCATGCTCTCTAAGGTCAAGTAAGCAGTGGCAAATTTTGTTGCGGCTGGCCTTAGAATTTCTTTCTTCGAAAATTTTCTCATAAGAGCTAGCACCAAAGAGTGGCTGTAAATAAACTTGGTTATTTTTTGGCTTTAGCGAGTGCATTTTTATGTTGAGGTAGCTCCCCAAGCTTCTCAAGAATCAGATCTATGCAATGTGCAGCACATGGAGTCCAGTACAAATGTTTCCTCTTATCCATAAATTTATTACCTGCAGCCTTATAAGAACTTGCATTATCTATCACAATTTGTACAACCAAATGTTCTCCAACCTCATCAATAATGCTATCTAATAATCCAAATATGAACTCAGCATTTTTGACCTAGTCAGATGCTTCAATTGACCTTAAAAACACTGTACCATAGGGATTATTAATGAGGATGTTGATCAGACTTCTATATTTGATATCAGACCACCCATCTGAAATAATTGTTACTCCTGTTTGAGCCCAAGTCTTCTTAATTTTTTCGATGCTTTTATCAGTGTTTTTCAACTCCTTCAAAATCCATGTTCTTAAATCATACATGGTTGGAGATTTGAACCCTCTCTCAAATGCTCCAACTGAACGAAACATGTTGTAATAAGAAGGTGATGTTGCAACATTAAATGTAATTGCATTTTCGTAGAAGAATCTGCCTATATCCTTACACATTCTTCTCCGCGCCTCCCTTGCATTTTCTGGGGCCATCTTCTGTGTAGTAGAAGGCCTATCCTCTGATGTGTCAACCATATAATGATCTATAGGCCCTCTAGCACTCCTAGATGAAATGAGCTTCATAGAAGAAAATGAATCCCTAACGCTGCGCTCACTCCCGTAGTAAGATCCAACATCAACTCTATCCTCAAATTGCTTCTATGCAAGATGTTTTGATGTGGTAGACTTATGTATGACTTTATCTCATCCCTTACAGCATCAGGAACTTTAGAGCATGGAGCAACATTCTTTTGAGAACCTGAAAGGTGTTCCTTCATCCTAGTCACACCACCTTTCACAACTTTATCACAGTAATTGCATTTCAGATAGACATATGTTTTATCACTGCCTCCTACATCCACCTGAGTGCTATGTTTCCATGCTGGATCTTTTGTATGACCTGATGCAGCTTTATTCTTATTTCTGACCATTCTGATTGAGAAAAAATAGGAAGTGAAAGAATTCTTACTAATCTTTTCTATGACCTAATGCAGGTCGGAGGAGACAGCAGCCTCGGACAGAAGCGGCCTAGAAGAAACCTCTAGGCGAAGAGAGCAGCTCTCGTTTAGGGTTTAATAAGCGTACTGGATGTGTTCAGTATTATATAATGTCGAGCCGTCGATAAATTTTTTGGATGTGTTCAATTTTATGTTGTGTATTTTATGCGTATATACTGCATATGTAATGCGTATTTAAGGCGTATATACTACATATGTACGACGTATTATATGCATATTCCATGTGTATTTTGTAAAACTTCTTCTAAAGTATTTGTAAATTAGCAGTTGAAGTAGTCGTAACTTAATGTATGATTTTGTATTAATATTTAATAAAATATATGATTTTTTGGTTATAATATGAGTACTGGATGTGTCCAATATTATATTATGTGTAATCTATGCGTACGTTGTGCGTAATATATGGACATACAATACGCACAACATGCGTACTCTGTGCGTAATATATGCGTATTTTGTGTAGGGTTTAATATGCATGCTGGATGTGTTCGGTATTATATAATGTTGAGCCGTCGATAAAGCAGAACACAGCATATCCTTCCATTCATTACTGCGATACTTATCCTCCTCCCATGTTCCTGATGACCAGGTTTATGTACATGGGAGGAGGATAAGTATCGCAGTAATGAATGTAAGGCTTGGTTGTCAAAGACCCTAAACCCTAAACAAAGCTCCGAAGTAAAAAATCAAACCTTCTGTCAAACCTGCATTACTTCTGTTTAAAAAAATCATGCTTACCATAAGGCTAGCGTTCCCGTATTATATAGTGGAAATTTTGATGTTGAACAATAATAAACAATAAATTGTAATTAATGGCTCATAAAAATTTAACCAACCCTCCCAACCATATCTGCCACCCATCAGTCCACAGCTAACCAAAATTATTATTCAAGTCACGGCCCCTCAGTCTATACTAAATATAAGTAACCTAAAACATTTAATAGAATGTGTGCGTATTTTATGCGTATTCTATGCGACTTAGTGCGTAATATGTGCGTGTATTCTGCGTATTTAATGCGTCTTTTGTTCGTTCGTTATGCGCAATATTTAAAAATGTTTAAAAAATATTTTTAAAATTATTTATTTATTTAAAACAAATAAGAAATTCAAACACTAATATTTAAACGTAAATGCCAAACACAAAATCTTTCAAACATCATATTCCTTATTTCTCTTTCTTAAATACAATCCACCAAGAGCCATAAACCCTTTGTACTTGTTCAAATATCATACTCAAGACTAGAAAATGAAATCATAAAAATCATATTACGTGTAATTTGTAATAACAAATTTAAGTTCAACATGTTAAACATATTCCTCATTATTTTAATGTAACTTAAAAACAAAGATAGATATTAATTAAAACATTTAATATAATTTGATTAATAAAATTTACTGCGTAATGTGTGCGTGTACTATGCATATTATATGCGTGTATGATGCGTACTATGTGCGTCTTTTGTGCGTGCGTTATGCGTATTATTTAAAAACGTTACAAAACTATTTATAGAATTATTTTTTTCGTTAAAACAAATAAGAAGTTCAAACACTAATCTTTAAACGCAAATGCCAATCACAAAATCTTTCAAACAACATATTATGCGTATTCTATGTCTATTATCTACTTACAATATGCGTATTATATGCGTACAATATGTCTACACAATACGTACGATATGCGTAATTTATGCGTATTATGATTAATAAGTTATTTTTTAATCAAATCAATGTAAATAACATTTATACACATAATTGAAAAATATATTCTTCAGAAATAAACATTTATACACAGAAGCTGTTTAAACATTTATACACAAAAATATTTATACATAGAAACATTTATACACCAAAATGATAAATATTTATACAAAGTGAAAAACTGTCATTTTTCCAATGTTTTACAAAATATTTCATATGCAAATTCTGCCCAATAATTTGGCATGTCTTCTTGTCAATTTGTACTATCAGTCCAATCAGTGTTGTCTTCAAGATTCTCTTTTCATATATTTACAGACATACATTCCGCAATCTATAGAGTTCTCCTATTTTGGTGCACCTTTAATGGTAGAAAGCTTCTATTTTCTGATATCACTATTAAAAGCTCATTTTGTGTCAGAGTATGGGCTTTAAGTTGAAAAATACATAGAGCAATGATTAGTCTGTAATTTTTTTAAAAAAAATTGAAGAGTTCATGTTCATCTAACACTTACGATTTTTGGAATAACAAGCCTATGCTCTTTAACGCGATGGGGTAACGAGTCATAAAATTTTCACTTTTGTTCTTTCAGCAAACCAATCAGCAGGGTAATGTGCAAGGATTCAATGATTGGCTATAATAAAATGTTGTTTGAAGAAACAAAAAGTTCGGTTATATGATCGATTTACAATTTGGACAATTTTTCCCTTTCTTTGTTATTCTGCAAGTGCAAGTAGTAAATGTAAGTATGTAACTATATAAGAACTAAGAAATGGATACTAAGTTAATAATCCAATAGTTAAACTGATTAATTGAATACTAAGTTACTAACACAAAAGACTGGAGAGATGTATAGAAATTTATGGTACTTGTCAGGCATAAGGTTACACTTCTAATTTAACAAAAGGGAAAAAAGATCTACATGTTCATTGCCTAAATTATCTCTTAATAACTCGTCAATTTCAGCTCTGGAAATAAGAAGGTTACTAACAAACAAGATACTATCGTCCCTGCACAAAAAATATATATAAAATACGCATTTCATAAGCATACAATACGCGTATCATAAGGATATCATATGCATATAATATGTATATAATACGCATAACATAAGCATACCATAAACATATAATACAATAAGTATAAAATACGCATAACATACGCGTATTATAAGCATATCATACGCATAAGTAATGCATATCATACGCATAACTCAAACATACCATACGCATAAAAATTTTCAAACATAAAATAAGTTACTATTTTTTTACATTCGATTGTACTTTTTTAAACATTCATGACTAAAATTTTTCTTCTCAAAACTCAAACTCAGAAGACCGTTGTAATTTTCTATTTCAGTTGCATAAACAGGAATTACAGGATTTATATGAATGTCATCTATTAGGATTAGTTCATTTGGATTTGTATATGGAATAAGTTGCATTTCTGCTGGGATTGGCTCATTTTGTGGGATTGGCTCATTTCTGGATGGGATTGGCTCATTGGGGCTATGGAGAAGGATATCTGATTTATGTTTCTTATTGGAAGATGAAGAGTAGCTAACAGATCTTTTCTAAGGAAGTACTTTGCTCTGATCAATGTAATTATTGAGCCTGACCTCAATAACTTCAACTCTTTCAGTTAGGTTTTCAAACTTTCTGCTCAGCCTATCTTCAAATTAAAGAAAACGTTTTGTGCAAGTTTCTTGGCATGATTTGATTATTCTTTCTTATAGAGATTCAGGTGCTTCAGCAGAAAAACTTTAAGTGTGGTTGCTAGGGAGATTGGTAGGGGTCTTGCTGAGGAGATTGGTGGGGGTTTGATGGGGAGATTGGGGGGGGTTGTTTTTGATGGGTGGATATTTCATGAGGGGAATCAGGGGATGGAGGGCTGTCTGATAGATATTTCTTGACATTAACCATATCAATTTCAGCTTGGAAAACTGCTTGGAGGACATTATAAATATGACTTTTCCTTATATTAACAAATAAGTTAGTAATCACCTCTGTAGTATATACAATATTATCAGTCCATCGTAGAAAACGGGACCTTTTGTCAGTATACATAGGAGCATGAAAAGAAAAATGTTTCAGAAACCAAATCTGCATAAGATGAAAGAAAATTTTAACACTCATGTTGAGCCAATAAAATTTTGAATGAATTTGACAGTTAGCACTTAGCACTCACAATTAGCAGAGGTACAAAACCGTTGATGTAACATGCTGGCTTCTTATTTGAAATCTTGGAGGAGGCCTTATTAAACTCTCCAACTAAAAATTCCCTAATTGAACTAGCCCAGTTTATTGACAAAAAATCATCTAGATTATTTTCTATCCTTTGAAACAACCGAGGGATTTTAAAGTTGTTAAGTTGAAAAGTAAATTTGAACATAAATGCATGATGAACGTTTTTAACATAGTCTCGGGAGGGGGGGGGGGTTGCTTGTTCAACTCTAGCATGTCTGCCTTAATTTTCGATGATATAACTGAAGTATGTGCTAAGGAAAGCCAGGATATTTCTTCTCTTTTATTTGGCAAACCAGTAAGTAGGGCCACTTCATCAGCAGTGAAAGGAATGGAGTCACCTTTTAGAACAAAGCATTGTTTTGAAATGTTCCACCTTGATATCAGCTCATAAATAAGAGGGACATTTTGCTCAAACCCATGAAATTGCAAAAACTGTATGATCTTCAACCGTTTCAATGTGTCCATGACTTTAGGAGAAATTTACTGAGCAAAGTTATCACAGATTGATCGAAAAGTTAAAACATAGCATCGATAGGTAATTGGACGAACATATATCTGAAAATTTAAAAAAAAATTAAAAACATATAGAATAAGTAAATAAGATACGCACAAAAAATGCACAACATAAGCATAAAATACGCACAACATAAGCATAAAATACGCACAACACAAGCAAAGATCACTCACAACATACACATAGAGTACTCACAACATACGCACAAGAACGCATATTTCAGAAAATATGGCAGCAAATTATACGCATGCATAAAATACGCACACAGTATGTACGCACAACATAAGCAATTATCACGCACAGTATACGCATAATATACGCATATAGTACGCACAACATACGTGTAGAGTACGCACAACATACGCATATACTCGGTGCTTAAAATTTAGTTAGGGTTTATGTTTCAAATTTCAACATAAATTCATAAACACTAAATACAAAGAAAACCTGAGGGAAT